AGAGAAAAGTCACAACAACAAACAATCAAACACTGGGCAGGTTGATGTGGCTGGTGACTGCTCCTCAGAAACGTAGAGCTACAGAGCCAGGGCAACCTACAGAAAGGTACAGGGAGAGAGAGAGGACACACTATGGGAGAGAGGAGACACAAAGTTAGTGACATATAATGGACATATAATAGATGTATGGAGAGGGGAAGGGAGGGGAAGAGAGGAGAGAACCTCAGAGCATCAGCTTTATCAAAAATCTTAAAGGTAGAGAGGGTGTCCACCTCCCGAACTGAGACTGGGAGCTGGTTCCAAAGGAGATGAGCTTGATAGCTAAAGGCTCAGCCTCCCTGGTCGGTGACTTGTCCTCTGAAACATCCTTTTATTTGTCAGCTAAATTGCAAGCTGATAATTGTAATTCCACTGAACAGCAGCTTCATTTCTAGAGGATTTAATGTATTTCAGCACATGTGCTATAAACTGCATCAACCAGAGACTGTTAGTGTCCGGGGTGTTCAACGACTGGTACAGTACGCTAATCCAGACAGTTAATATCCACCTCTCATTTCTCATCTTATTGCATTAATGCTGGGACACACAAGAAGACTGCTGGGCCAATTCGTACAAGATTTGCCCATCTTTATAAGGAGAAACACTATAGATCATTTGGATCCAGTGATGTGCAAATATGATCTTAATATGAGAGCTCACACTCCCGACTTTTCACTGATGATATCAAATGTTTTATATGTTTAATCCGACATTTGTCTAAGTGCTGCGCTGTGTAGCGATCAGAAGCAGCTGACAGTGAGCGAGGCACAGGGAGCTGAATGTTACTGTTTCCCTCTGTTCTTATTTTGACTGGAATTTCTGGTTCATGAGATTACAGGGCCTGGCGTATCAGGAGTTAGCGGGATAATCTCATATCATTATGTTTGCAATGTGAGGCTGAGACACAGAATAATCAGCAGAATATTCACTCTCTGATGCATATGATCCTAATGCGTCCCCCAGCCTGACAATACACTGGTTACCATGCTGCAGTAGACTTAAAGGTGCTGATGGATGTGCTTGTACACCATGCGCTATAAAACTAATTCTCTTGTTATCTGTGTTTTTATTTTGGTTTTCTGCAGAAATTGATAAGTATGAAGGTGATGAACTGAGAAAAGATGGCGCCATGAAGAAATATCTTGATATTATCAGCAATAAAAATATCAAGCTCTCTGAAAGAGTCCTCATCCCAGTCCAACAGTATCCAAAGGTAAGAGACACAACGACCACATCTTATCTTAAATCAGTAATGGAAATTTGTAGCATTTTCAAATGACCAGAACAGTTCAACTACAAGATGCAAGAGGATCAGGGCTGAGCTTGTTTACGTGCATTATTCTATTTCTTGAATTTTCATCAGCGGATGGGGATTTTTAGTATGGGCACTCTACTGCTGCTTCACCTACTCCACCCTTTGCAAAGCTTATTTAGACACTGAAAATGCCACAGAGTCTCTGACAGAATAACAGAAAGTCATCGGCAGTGTCTGTTTATTTTAGTGCGCTAAAGCAACCAAAGGTACGGTGAAAACAGTGACCATAAATCACTGTATGCCATGGCACACTGTATTCTGAGTTATGTGATGTCAGGACTGACAAAGTTTGAAATGTAGCCTAATGAGTCTGCTCCATCAGGCAGCAAAGCAGCAACACGCAGCTGCTTGTGGAGAATACAGAGGCTCTACTGCCACTGTCACCAAGGAAAGCTGCTTCACTGACTTTGTGTTCACACAGACGTGGGACATGCAGCCCAGAATAATGACATCAGTAGGGGCACAGATCACAACAAACCATATTTTGATGTAGTACAAACATTATTTGTCCCATTCTATAAGTGCAGTATATACTACAGACATTGTGCAGCCATGGGTAGATGAACAGGTTTTCAGTTTAGTTTTTACATGAAATGCTTTAAAACCTTGCCTACATATCTTGATTGATTTTGAGATATATGATTAAACTTTTTTGTCAGAATAGTTAACTGATACTCACCCCCTCTTAACAGCTTTTAATCACATGATAGTCTCATGAAAATAAAGATATGCAATGATTTAAGATTTTTGGTATCCAACAGTAACTATATCAAAATCTTACACATTTCTTTTTCTTTAAAAAAAATTTTTTCAAAAATTTCAGCTTGTTTTAGTCAATTCTGATCTTAGGTTTTGGTAAAACCCAGTCAGTTGTATACTAGATACTACACAGTTGGTGCAGCTCTTGTGTTTTAAATGTAGTTTACTGATTTTGTCTGTCCTGTTATAGATGGAGTAGGGAATAGAGGATGTCAGGAGGGCAGGGGAATGTTTAACTGTGCCTCAGGGACATAGGCAGCATGCCTTTGTCCAGTGAGCCCCTCAGGATGCACATCAAAATCTATTCACTGTTTCCTCCTCAGGATCAGTGTTAAGAAAGTACAGTAATTAAGCTGTGGTCAGGAACTTCTCACTCAATTCAGCTGATTTCAAATCTATAAATTGAGCCATTTTCTTGATGTCAGGGACAAAACAGTAGGGCAGCTAGTTAAACTGAAAATGCAACTATAGCAAAGCAAGACCAGGAAATTTTTAAAAAATTAGATCAGGTCATCTAAACAAACAGCAACTTAAGACTGACCTAACCATAACTGACCTAGAAAAGACACCCAGCTGATGGAGGAAGACTTGCCTAGGCAGAAAAAGAGAACAAAGGTAAAAGAGATGAATTTAAGAGAATCTAAATGGATGTAAGAGAGAATATTACCTACAGCAGACACTCAAATCAAATTAACCAGACATTATCATAGAAATGAAAGTAGCTGTTAGTTTTGCATTCACTTGGTGTCCCAGGTGTGAGTCAGCTCCTGATTTGGCATTTAATGAAAACCAGTGGAACCTGGGGTCAAAAATAAAAAAAGCCCTGAGAACCACTGAGACAGATAATTGGGATACAAAATTGTGTTGTGAAACAACAAGCGTATGATCATAAATAAAAGTAAGCACAGGAGTGCAGTCCAGAGGGACCGAGCAGTTGTCCAACAACAGATTCTGTGACCTAATTGCACAGTCAGCACCCAACAGCGCTGCAGTGTCACTGTCTGAAACATCTTGGTAACGCTGCACTTTCAGTTAATGGGAATTAGCCACATAAAGCAACTCACTGATCGGGAGCAGGCCCCACAAAGAGGATGAGAACAACAAAAATATAATGCAGTGTTTAGAGCAAGCTAGCAGTTACTGTGCATTTATTCTGAAACTTGGATGATAATGTGTAAGAATGTATGTTAATGTACACTCACCAGCCACTTTATGAGGTCATAGTTAAAGGTGGTGTTGGACTACATTATATTCAGAGGTGTTCCTAATATTCTGACCCTCTCATGTATGTAGCTGGGGTGAACAAAATAGATTGAAGACACCTCTGAATATACTGTAGTTCAGTACAACACCACCTTTAACTTGTTAAGGTGGAAGTGCTGCATTAACGTGCATACAATTGTACAGGTGTACCTAATAAAGTGACTGATGAGTGTATTTAACACCTGCAAAATGTTTTAACAACTCCATAGACAAACATTATCATTGGGCTGTGGAAAATATTTCAACGCTGCGGCTACAGAGGTGTGAATTCTTACAACTTTCACTGAATTAACACGAGCAAATACTGCAAAATAATTAAATGCAAAGTAATTAAAGAATTACTTGTGAGAATTCCTCTGCTTGTTTTGATTTGATGATGTGGCACATGGATGATAAATGCCATCCGTCAGTGAAATAATCAATACTGATGAAATTATTCTTGAGACAAACTGACAGACACATACTAGAGGTCACATTTGTACATGTCATAGCAGCCTGGCTTACTAACACATTTAACTGTTAGTCCTCGTTGTTGTTATTAGCTCTACCTGTGCTTCTCCTATGATGACAAGTCAAAATATCTGCTGTGAAAAAGGCCTGTTTAGTCCTGTTCTGTGATACGATGCAGAATTAGTAATGATGATATCAACAAAACAAGCCTCAGGCCCATACTGTACATATCTCACTGCTAAGACCTCACAGGGTTATTATGTTCTGCGGTAATGCCACAAAATAATTCACACATCATCACACAGTATGTGTGTAAGAGGATACAGAGCCTCATAAGCTACAGGTAAAATATAAATGCAGGTTATTTTATCTAAAGCATTATCAGACAGTGTCATAAAATCAATGCCAAGTCAGCACAATACAGGAATGTTTAACTTGAATGTAATGTTTATGTAACACGGACGATGCTTACAGCTAAAATCTCATTGTTATTTGTGGTGTCGGGGCAGGAGCGGCCAGTGATGCACAGCCTGACGTAGTTATAGCAGACATGTTTAGCGAATGAAACATTATAGTGGACATAAAGTGCTGCAGCTGATGAGGAGAAAACATGAGGAACCCAGACCACTAATCTCAACACATACCTTATCCTGCTCACTGTACTTTGTACACATACACAGCTAAGATTTAACATTTACAGTATAATACAATTATTATTAATTACAGTGTTTATGCAGTTAAATATATTCTGTAACATTAATAACAGAAATTCACATTTCTGTTTTCCACCTACTTCTGTACAGTGCATTTGTATGAGATGCTCGTTGCATTGAACAACTTCATATACTGCTGGGTACTTTAATCTATATGTCCTTTTTATACATTGATTGTATATTTTTACATGTAAAATCTTAATTGGAAAGGTAGAGGATGCTATTGCTGGTAAAATAGTCTAGTTCAGTATTTTCCTCTGAAATGTAGTGGAGCAAAAGTCTAATGGAAATACTCAAGTAAAGTCGAAGAACTTCAAAACTGTACTTAATTACAGTATTTGAATAAATGTATTTTACCCCATTGTATGTTTATGTGTGAATAATGAGGGGGAAGCGGTACTGTATAGGATCATATATTAGGCTTGGTAAAGCTGCAGCTGCTCCATCACACGTCTATTTGGATAAGACCTGGAGGGATCATTCATCTTGTTACAGACTCTCCCCAGCTGTATGCATCATTCATAGGGGACAACTTGTGTGTGTTGTGCACCGCGTTCGGTAAAACCTGCGTTAGGTTTGTTGTCATTTCACAGCCTGTCAAGATAAAGAAATTTGGCCTTGAATCGTTCCCCCTGGTGCCCTTACCGTCACTTTGGATTTTTAATCTCCTCTAAAGAAATGATGAAACCTTGAGAACAGAACTGATCTTAGTCAATGGGAGAGGAGTTACATCTGTACCTGTCCCAGTTTGACACCTAAACAAATGATACTCTGCAGGGCGCTTATGGAAATCTTGAAATTGGACATGAGGTTACAATTTACTCAGAAGAAATATGATTAAGATAATAAGCATAGTCATTTTCATTATTGCTTAATTGGAATTTAGATTATGCTGTTTACCGAGATAGCTTGATTAGCATCTCTTAACCTTTGGGCATGAAATGGATTTTCAATGGCTGATACTGTCTGTGAGTCTGAGTCCAGTGCTTGAGACTATTCTGCATTTTTATGAGAATGCTTTAGAAATTCTTTTTGCCATTTTAATTGGAATGCATTTGATTTAGAAAAAAATAAAACATAATGGGCTTTTCCTTGCTCTTGTCACATTTAATACCTTTGTAAGGTATTTGCTGTAACTATTCTTGCTGCAGGTACATACACAGGCCACAACACAGTGAATTGTGTTTTGTCCTTGTGGATGCCACAATTTTGAGCTTATCGGTTATTGGGTTATTGTGACCTTTAAATAGTGTTGCAACTGTGCTGTACCCCTAGAGAAATTCCATTTTTGTCTGGCTAGAGATGTCAGTGTACCAAAAAAAAGGCCTATCATCTGCTAAGGTGTTTTGCTTAGATAAGTGCTGAATACAGTAGAGAGAGTATAGAGTGTGAATCAAAATTAAGCGCTTGTACGACAGCATCACAGTCCCACTTTTGGGACTTGATGACTTTGGCTGCCACGGTGCTCTTCATAAGATATAATAAAGATAAAATGCCACTGTATGTTAAAACCTTTCCCACATATACTGGGTCCTAGTACTAATTCTAACATGGTTTTCAGCACCTAGTGCCTTCATTCAGGAAACCTCAGATTGATTGGATTTTTAAGTGTGCCGCTGATTGACACTATTGTGCTAAAATGAAGTGCACAGCAGAAATGAGGAGATGATCACCGCTGGAGAAAATTAAGGAACCTGTAGCAAATTGTGCTAG